TTACAGTGAAATCTTCATGCTTATACAGGGACTAAAGGTTCTGAATCGGTTGTCAAGACTGATATTTAAAGTTGTCGAGCAGACTACAGAAATCAGGTGGTCAAATATGCTTTAAAGTATTGATTATTTAACCCTATCTATCTTTACAAATTTTCTTTATTCGTCAGAGCAAAATGCAAACACTTTTTTTCAGAAATATATCATCCTATACTGTGTCTGTCATTCAAATATATACGACGCAATTTGCAATACTAAAAACAATGAAATTATGTACATTTTCACAAAGACTCAATATAGTGCATAGTATAGTGTGTTCATCAGCAGTCTTAAGTACGGAAATCCAGTCTTTAGAGCTACCGTTTTGACCTTATCGCCCTGGACTTGGTGCCGTCATCCTCAGATAGGCCCAATGAGGACAGGCATACCTTAGTAGGAATTCAGGTAAATCCAGTAGGAGAAACTTGTACATACGTGTAACATTGAAAACAAATCTTTCAAAAAATGTAACTGTTGTTGTAACTCAGTAATGGTAAATGAAATCATAACAGTTTGTAGAGCAAGGAGAAAAGAGGAGAGAGAAGTCAAACATAAAAAGAAATAATTAAATGGATCACAAAATGCTCTTTCTTTGTACTGGTTTAAGGATAGTTCACCTTTTTTTTTCGGAAGAATGGGAGAGAGAGAGAAAAGGATCGGAATGTGAAGGATTATTAATTTTTTTCTTCTACTTTGCTGTCTGAAAGTGTTGTTCATTTCTTTAAAGAAATTGGAACGCCTATTAAATGAGAATTTCAAAGTGGATCTTTAAATTCCGTTTTTTTTTAAAGCTTGTTAACTAAATTTAATTTAGATGGTGGTGTTTTTTTTTTGTGAATAATCACAGGAACCATACAACAAAATCAGTGTTTTGCACTACCAGCTGCAGGAAACTATCACGTTTAGCAAGAATAAATAATCTCTGAACACTAAAGACACGCGCATTCACCTAGCTTTATTTACAAATATCGGATCCAAAGACATAAAAAAAAATTAAGAATGGTTCAATAAAATGCATGTATCAAGAGCCTGCAGAAGTAAATGACTCGACGACGCGGGTTATCCAATGTCAGAACTACCGGACCAACACTTAGCTTTGGGCGCGATCGCTACGTGGTTACCGCCCACGCTTTGCCATCGTCCTCACTGCAAGGATGACCTCAAACAGCACATCACATACTGCTGCTAAGAAACGACTTTCACTTGGACTACTGTCAAGCTTGTACTTGGAACTACATGTAAAAATAATGATAATACAGGTGATTTAGCTAAACTGCTAGTTCATCTACAAGTAGTCGCAGATACTACCACTTCCACAACCAGCTGCCACACCAGGTATAAGGTGCCTTTGTTCAACCGCTTGAGAAAAATGGAAAAGTATTAATAAAAATCTATTTTATAAGCTGTTATTCTTGTTTTCTCTTCTCTTTTTAACGTGTCTTGGATAATCTTGGCGATAATTAATTTTCTAAAAGGACTCGCGTGCCTCTTCTAAAAGAAAAAAAAAGGTAAATGAAAATTATATATTAATTCTCCGGTCCGGTAGTGCGTTTGGCTCCGCAGAACCAGTCGAACGCTTCGTATAATCACAATTAGCGTAAGTTGTGATTTCATGTGATTATTTCAGTCTGAATTTGGTCTGAATATATTTGTGGGGAACAGATCACAAAGTAGCGCTCCCATATGACAGGTATTTTAAGGACAAGGATGCTATGCTTTTATAACAGGTGTCTTTTTTTTTTTTTAATCAGTTTTCTGTCCTCTTTGTTGGGTTGTGTAGGATTATTATTTTTTATAAAAAGAGATATGAATATATAAATATCATTCTAAAAAACCGCTCGCTCTGGTTGGTTAATTTTCATCTCTACGTCAAAATCTGCTTCAAGCATGTTTCCATATTGTTATATATATATATATTTTTTTCATTCGAGTTTATCTTTGCAGAACCTGTATTCATCATGCATCATACCATTCGTCTTACTCGCAAATTAATCTTAATCCTTATTTAACCCATGCTTGCAACATTGCACTGCAAGACAAAGTAACTGTCCTGCATACTTTGTCCATGTACAGTTGTGTGTTTGAAGGTTAAAAAAACGTAAAAAAATGCAAAATGTGAACAAAGCAAGAGACAGGCAGAGTGAAGGAGTGATCCATGGATAAATATATATAAGTCTTCCCTACCCTGCATCCATACGCAATAATTTTCAAAACACATTCAAGCAGAAAGAAAACGGTGAAAACGTTGTTGAGGTATCCCAGTATGTCCATGTAGAGATTCCCCGCTTGGTAATACTAGACAGAGGGCACGTTACGCCGCCCCAGGGTTGAAGTTTGAAGTTGGCGCGCAGATGTTGATTGGTCGGGGGCGCCAGAGGGGGGTGGGCGGGACCGCGAATCACAAGGGTATGTATCCAGTTGTGACATGTGATTGGTTGGCAATGGATATCGGCCACGACCAATCAGTGATGAGGAACAATGATTTTCAGGTGGCACCGTTGATTTTCAAGTTTTATGTAAGGAAAGAGACACAGAGAAACACAAAATTAATACTTATACCATGAATTAATGGAAGTGGTCATTCAGTTTATCTGGTAATAGACAGATGAGTATGATACTTTGAACAATTCGGGTATCATGTGTCTGGTGTGGTTACAAGTCTCGGCGGCGAGTCTTCCAAAGAACTCGGTTAACAAAACCAATCTAGGCTATGGGGAATCTAGGCCTACTGATCTCGTCCGAAGAGAGAGAGAGAGAGGGGGATAAAAAAAAAATATATATATATACACTATAGATCTAGAAATACAAGACTTGGAACCACAGACTAGAGCAAGCAAATCACTCAGTCGAAGGGGGAACAGTATCAAAGGGTCGAGCAAATGCAGCTGCTTTTCTCGTTGGCACGATGCTGGTGCGGGGGTTAGGGGGGGTTAGGGGGGAGCTAGAGAAGAGGGGAAAGGGGGGGGGGAGGGCAAGGGGGGACATTCTGGCCACGCCCTAAAGGGGAGGGGGGGGGAGGGAAGGGGTGGCGTCATTCACACGAAATGCGACGTGATGCATTTAGCCAGCCAAATAAAGTGCACAGAGCTACAGGTTTTTCGTCTTAATGCATGGCTACCAGTGCGTGCGAGACCGTTGGAAAGCATGCCCAGAAGTCTTCGAAACCGGAAACGAAGGCTACACGTTAAAGATTTATTTATTATTATTTTTTTTTAAACTTCCAAATCATAAATGATATCTAGAAAATCAACACTGCAAAAGCTAATGCGCCTCTAGAGTTTAATGCCAATGAAAAAAATATGATTTTTTTAATGGTAATAAAACATGATTAATGTAAATCGAAAAATCATAATGATTCACAGTACCAAAATCATAGAAAAATATGCCTGCCACTACAATTGCCATAGTCACTCCTACTATTATTACTACAGCTACTTATTCTACAAAACGAAAACGACAGAAATAATAATAATAATAATAAAAAAATATGATACCATTGACAAAACAAAATATACTAATGCTGTTAAGATAATCAAACAAAATAATGTAAAAATAACGAAAATAATATATGCGGGATGATATAAATAATAATTATGATAATATAGTGAACTTAAACTTTATAAGAATGGCTATAACATAAAAAAAAACTTAATAAGTAGCACTATTAATGACAAAAACAAAACAAAAAATTACTGTGAAACTTAACTAATAATAATTACGATAATGATGATATAATAAATGACTAAAGTAAACAAGTGTTATACTCTAGTCTGATATGATCATCATTATCTCTAATGCAAAGAAAAATAAGGAAGAAAGTGATCGCCATAATTACGAACTAATAATAGCAGCAGAAAAAATTAATTGATGTTGAAGTGATACTGAATGCAATATTAAAGCAAAAGAAATGTGGATAGTGATGAAAATAATAATGATAATGGCGATGATAATGATGATGATGGTGATAATAATAATAAAAATAATACTAATAATAATGATAATAATAATCCAATTAATGAGAATGATCAGAGCCAAGTTAAGAAACGAGAGGCGAGGACGAACCTGTCACTCGCCTCATCTCGCTACGAACACGTGTGCTTTGAGTCTACGAACCGTGACAACCAAAATAAATCATTTATTTAAGTCTAGAGGAAAGCATGCAACTCTAAAACGCATTCCCTTCGCCAAGATGCAACATGCAACATTCAGGTTTGTGCATCATGAAGACAGACGTGCACACGAACCATGCACATGCGGTTATGCTACACCGAGAAGGTTTGATGTCACCCATGCAATGCATGCCATGCAAAAATATCCTTTTTCCAGCATGCACGAGGAACAATGAAAATAACACGACGTCAACAGATCGTTCGGGGACGATGCAGTAATGCAACATTGGTGAGGACAATGGGATACGGCGCCACCATACAGAAAACGGAGCCACCATACAGAAACGGACCCACAGCTCAGAGCAAAAGACAATCGGTACATGCTATCGTTGTGGAGGGATGGTGGAGAACCTCCGATGGTAGGTCGCGCGCGCTGCTGGGGGAGAAGGCAGTCCCAAACGGCATTCTAGGGGGACCGTCCTTTATCTCTCGCGTTGAGAGAGACAAAGATTGGAGGGCGAAGGGGGGAGGGGAGGGGGCACAGATTCACAACTTTGAGAAGATCAGTATTCTGTACATGTTTTTTTTTTTTTTTTTTTTTTTTTTTTTTTTTGAACTCCACCTCTTTCAAGTGTTTCTTTCCCTATGTGAGAGGAAGGTGAGAGGTGACGAGAGCGAGCGAGGGCAGGAGGAAAGATGATCAAGAGCCTCCGTGTAGCCTCGGTCGGGAGGACGAAAGGTCCACAGGAGGCGCAAGAGGAGAGAAGTAAGTCTGCAACATGTTAGGTCACACTTGTATCTTGTCCCTATCGGAAGAGGCACAGGGAAGTGTTGGCAGAAGAACATAAATAAGACGCGAGAACTCAAAGACGCAAGATATCGTAGGGTAAGTGTAAGATTCAGAGTATGATGGGGGGAAAAAAATCTCTAGTGGGGTGAGGCAAGGAGTGTGTGAGACGAGAACCACAAGGGAGACAGATGGAAAGGGACACCGCCAGACCCCGGGGAGGGGGCGGCCGGTGCACGATGACGTCACGCGGGAACACCGAGGCTCAACCAATCACGTAAGCGCTAAGAAAGGGGGAAGGAGAGAGAGAGAGAGACACTGCGCGAAGGAGAAGAGAGGAAAAGGTGAGAACAGGAGAAGACAAAAAAAAAAAAAAAAAAAAAAAAAAAAAAGGATGAGCAAGTGTACTCTTAGATATTCCAGAGATGAATTACGAGAGTTTTACCATACACACCAAAAAAAAAAAAAAAAAAAAAAAAAGATAAAAAAGAGAAAAGACAGAATATTGTATGGAATAACTATCAAGTTTATCAAGTTTACAACTCCTATCAACACAACTTCAGAGATTACATGAACAGTAGACAACATACCAGAACCTAACCATCATACACTCCTAGCCTGATATCTATCGACTTTCAGCCATTCAACAGACAGACTCCTATGCATGAAATAAAATGTTTCCCTATGAACATCAACACAAAAAAACACGGATTAAAACCAGTCCTATAAACATGTCGAGTTCGCTAACCTAAACATCAAAGCTATAACATTTTTTCCTTATAATCTATTCTTTTTTTCTAGAATGGATACTTTAAACTGTGAGATAGATAATAATAGCAAGTGTTTGGTATTTTTTTTTCCACCTAAACTAAAACGAAAAATCGTAATGCATGTTAAATCTGGCATTTAATATTTCACCACACGTCTAAATTTACTTGTGTTTTCATTCTCTTGTGGAAAATAAACAGTATATGTAAATGAACTGTATATGTAAATTTCAATCATTGTTTGAGGACCTACTATTCAATTCATAATGAACTGGAACTTAAAAAGTGAATAGTTTTCGTTATCAGTGGGGTTTGTTAAGGGTAAATGGTTAACAAAGTTATTACATTTTTACATCTATACAGTGAGAATAGTCTCTGCTGTCTACGCGAGCAGCTAATACTATTTGTCTACTTTAACTACAAAAGCAACTTTATCTTAATAATTCTACGAAGAAAGCTCTCTTGATAAGATATATATATATATCATGAAATTGGGGATTTCTACATCACTCTTTCTCATCTTAGATCTTATCACATGATTCTAAATATCATCTTGAATACTTCAGGTAAGAAAAAATTAATATAATCTTCGCCTAATTTTGTGTCATATGAATTAGGTCGAAGAGTCGCTTGTCATAAGGAGACCTCCTTGTGAGTGCTGACTACAAAGACACATTTTCACTGTCAGAGGTCTCAGCGACATCACTATCAATAACTAAACAGACAGGCAATTACCTCTACATTTATCACAAAACAGACTAGGTCACTAAATCTGCCAGACCTATGATTATATCATAAAAAAGAATACATTACGAATATCCTACGTCCTTGTAAAAAAAAAAAAAGCCTATATATACACGACAGTTTACACACACACACACAACCTAAAGACGATAAGCTATGTTCTACTAACCAAGGTTACGCTTCTATTTAAAAAAAAAAAATAGCTACGCACAGGACCTATGGATGACGTAGTGAACTAGGGGAGTGGGGAGGGAAAAGCTTATCTCAAAACAGGGTTGATCTAGACAGTAGGCCTGCGGAACACCAACGAGAACCTAGAGGATTTGGCACGGACCTTCACTAAAGCATACGAACTGATAATCTTTGGAGGTATACGGCCTCTAGTTACAACGTACTTTTGAAGGGACAGTCAGACAGATGGACAGACAGACAGACAGACAACAAAAACGACACAGAGATGAAAGAGAATGAGAGAGAACGACACATACCACAGGAATGACATAAATAATAGGTCAGAAATACACTAGAAATGGGAAGAACAATGATGAAGGAAGACTATGAGATACAGAGAAAGAACGAAGGAGAGAGAGAGAGAGAGAGAGAGAGAGAGAGAGAGAGAGAGAGAGAGAGAGAGAGAGAGAGAGAGAGAGAGAGAGAGAGAGAGAGAGAGAGAGGCCAGGAGTATATAAAATGATCTAAGAAGTGATACATAAGAGACAAATGAGGGATTCTTTTTTTTTTCTTTATGACAGAGAGAGACCCATAACGAGTTGTCTCTCAAGATTTAGCACAGTAGATTTCTTCCTTACCCTGACTCCAAATGCGGCAATCTTGAGTAAACATTCAATGGTAAAGAACGAGGTGAAGATTGTGTTCATGTTGTGCAGAGTTTCTTTGTACAATTTGGACTGATTATGAAACTGGCAGGAGAGAAACACAAAACACAAAACATCAGTATCGGGGCGCATTTTGATTGGTTAATAAGTTGGTCAACATGTAATATTCAAAACATGATAACATAGTACTTGCGGATCTAATACTGCTCGATTAGGTCCAG